GTAAGCCATATATTCTATCATTTTGAGAGAAGAATCATTATTTCACTCCAACAGGTCTTCAGACTATTCAACTCATTCTTTGTATTGGTATTGTTAATAATACTTTTCAACCAATCCATGCTCCAGTCATCTTCAGGTATATAGTTGTATGAAAGACACCTTTTATAATTTCAAAAAGTCATTATCATTCCAAGAGTTCTTCAGACTCTTGAACTTATTCTTTGTTGCTTTTGTTCTGACTAATACATTTCAGTCAATCCATTCTCCAACCATCTTCAGGTGTACAACTTCATGGAAAAAACCTATAATTTTGAGAAGTCATTATCATTCCAAGATTTTTTCAGACTATGAAACTAATTATTTCTGTTGTTTTGTTCTGACCACTACATTTCAGTCAATCCATTCTCCAACCATCTTCAGGTGTATGGAAGAAACCTTCTATAATTTTGAGAATTCTAAGAGTTGTTCAGACCATTAACTCATTTTTTGTGTTGCAATTCTGAGTTCCATTCTCCAACCATCTTCAGGTCAACTGTATTAACTCATTCCTTTTTTGCATTTCCAAGAGTTGTTCTGACATTCTTTTGTTTTGCATTTGTTCTGACCACTACATTTCAGTCAATCCATTCTCCAACCATCTTCAGGTGTAGGAAGTAATTTTGAGAAGAGTCATTATCAAGAGTTCTTCAGTCTATGGAACTCACCTTTTGTTCTATTTCAAATTTCTCAAGAAACTCTATGAAGTCCTTCTATAATTCAAGAAGAATCAAGAGTTGTATTTTATCTGAATGCTACCTTATGAAAATTGAGATGTGGTAGAGTGGTGGGCCCCATATCATAGATTTTGGGCTGTTAGGTGGAGTATCATGAGATACTTGCTTCTGTCCGGTTTCTTTTTATTTCCCTTTATATATTGGAGACACGTATTAAATTAAATAATGAAATTTAAACATCTTTCTTTTTTTTTTTTTTTTTTTTTTTGCTGGTTGCATACCGATGGGGTAAATCCTAAATTACATGAAACTGAATTTATCTTCCGCGTTAGGGTACAAGTTAGTTCTCAGAGATCATTACTTTATGGATCTGTCCCCACTTCTTGTTTACACTGTACTAATCTCTATTATAAAAGCCAAGTGGATTCCCGTCCATCAAGAACTGTCTGCATGTGTCTTTGCATATCTGTATGGAATGTATATGCATATATTTGCATTGTGCATCAGTGACTTACATATTTTTTGTGCAATTTAATGTGCACACAAATATATATGCACACACAATTTGATTGAGTTTGAAATAAAACACTGAAATAATACATTCTGTCCTACTCAGTCTGGACAACACCTACCCTGAGTAAGGCAGTAAAGTCATAAAGTTTAGAACAAAAAGAAAAAATAATTACCCCCACAACCAGAATTATAAAATTTTATTGAACTTTTCAGAAATTATTTAGTAATAAATAAAATTATTTAAAAAAAACAAAAAAAAAAAAAAACAAAACAAAAAAAACTATTTTTTCATTTTATAGAAACATTTTTAGGTTTTTCATTGAATTAAAATTATACATGCACGTGTGAAAATGTGTACAGACACACACATGTACATTTTGAATAAAATTGAAATGAACATCTGTATTAATTTCTCATTCTGTCTGATAATAACCCCTAACAGGAACTGAAAATAAGTGGAGATGTATGGCCTTATGAAGTCAATTTTATGAGTCCTTTTTTTAAACTGAATATATTTTTTTAAAAAAAATGCAATATTTCAAAGAAAAAAAAAAACAATTAAAATTTGAAATTTGACCATCTTGACACTAGTGAAGCAGCAAGTATCAAACTAATACTTAATAAAAACCAGGTTTTTATGACTCTTTCTGTATTTAAACTGGATATATTTTTGAATAAATACAATATTTCAAATGAAAAAACAAATTAGATTAGAAATTTTATCATCTTGCCATTAGCAAATAGGTAGTACTGAAGAAGTTTAGACATAATAAATGCCAAATTATAGTTTATCAACCTTGGAAGGAACAAGTTGTGAAATTTATTTATTTGTAGATTCTGTGTTTAAATAAAACATTTATGAATTGGTAACTCATCCTACTCTTAAAGAGGAAATGCAGCTTAATTTAATTGATGCAATAAAGATTGGACAGAGTTATTTCCCTTGGATATTTGAATTATTTCCCATGTGGATTTTTTATTTTCTTTTCCTTAAAGTTTTATTTTTTATTTATTTTTGTTTTTGCATTAAATGCGAAGATTTTAAAAATATTTCAATACAAAATTGACCCTGAAATCTGCTTTATATGATATGGCGATCAAGACCACTGTAAATTAAATTTGTGTTTGCATTGATTGAATTTATCACAGAAATATTGCAAATTGTATACTAAAGTAAAATCATTTCCATGGATGGATTTGTTTAATAAATCCTATCAGTGATAAGACAGCTTACATAAATGGCTAGTAAATAATTTGCAATGCATTCCTATAGTAAAATCATTTCCAATGAATTTCTATCTATACTTTTAGTATTTGCTATGTCACTATATATATAATCATTAGAGGGAATGAAAGTTTGGATGGATTTCTTTAATAAATCCTATCAGTGATAAGACAGCTTACATAAATGGCTAGTAAATAATTTGCAATGCATTCCTATAGTAAAATCATTTCAAATGAATTTCTATCTATGTTTTTAATATTTGCTCTGTCACTATATATGTAATCATTAGAGGGAATGAAAGTTTGGATGGATTTCTTTAATAAATCCTATCAGTGATAAGACAGCTTACATAAATGGCTAGTAAATAATTTGCAATGCATTCCTATAGTAAAATCATTTCCAATGAATTTCTATATATACTTTTAGTATTTGCTATGTCACTATATATATAATCATTAGAGGGAATGAAAGTTTGGATGGATTTGTTTAATAAATCCTATCAGTGATAAGACAGCTTACATAAATGGCTAGTAAATAATTTGCAATGCATTCCTATAGTAAAATCATTTGCAATGAATTTCTATATATGCTTTTAGTATTTGCTATCTATATATCTATAATTCCCAAAATGTGTGTGTGGGATCAGATGTTTTCTTTACTCATTTCCACAGTTTTCATCTGTTTTTGATGAAATTTCTTTTGTTTGATAGATAATTCTTCAGTGCCAGTTTTGAGTCAAAATTACACATTCCCCTTTTCTTGGCCAAGCGTTCCATCTCACTCAAGTGAGGTTACTTTTTCCGATGCATAGAGCCTACTATTACAGTTTTAAAGCTTTGCTTTCATTGTCATTTATAGCCATTCCCAATTTAAAGTTTTTTATTGTCCTGCCAGTTTTTGCATTGCATTCATTATAGTAATAAGTAAGCTTGCTTTTATATTACTCAACATTTATTTTTCTAACCTTTCTTAAAGTTATTTGAGCTTAGTGATTCATGTAGCTTTACAGCGTTCTCTTCTGATATTTGGTGGCATGTCTTAGGCAAGTATGAATTGTCAAATAGAATGCATGAGCAAAGAAAAGAACTTGCCTAAGTTGCAAAACCGCTGTCACCATCACATACTACAATGGCAGACATTTCTTGTCAATCACAGATCGAGGTCTGACGTGTTTCACCGTTTGGTATAAAACAGCTACAGTCAGTATTCTGTGAACAAAGTCTACTAGTTGAGATATTGACGGACAATGCCCCAATCTTTTGGTTGTGGCCAAGACTTTTAGGCCTTTGTAGATGAATGGGGAGTGTGGGTGCAATACTGATGATGTGCCTGCATTCAAGTGGGTAATGCTATAGCAGAGTGATGTCACTACACCATTAAAACAACTGCAGCCAGAACATGGTGCTCCCTTCAGGAAGCTGTGTATTGGTACAGTGTCACCCTGAAAGATGACTCCACATCGTCAAATGCACTAGCCAATGGAACTTACCAGTATGAACAGTGCATGAAAGGGATAGATGCATCACTACTGCTATCTAACAGTGTAAATAGTGAGAGACAGTGTCTGGGTAGGCCAAGGCCTTGCATAACCAATGTGCCAACAGATTCGGTAAAGGAGAAATTGATGGGATAGTTAACCTCCCAAACAGTATTGGAATACCGCGCCATGTGAAAGACATGTGACCATGGTACCAATCTTCTGCTTCAGAAGATGGTGGAAATAGTATGTCATCTTAGAGTGACTCAGAGACTCTGTTGTTCTTAAGACTAGGGTTGGAATGTCCGCCTGCAGACCCATAGGATAATAATATTAGAAATGAAGGAGACCGGGAGAAAACAGGTGATAGAAATATCTCCCCCTCTTCTACAAAGAAGCACTTGCTTTATCCCCCTGCCATGTATGTGATCAGGAGATCAAGAGACGAGTGTAACATGATATAAAATGGTTTACTGCCTGGTAGAAAGCGGGTTCGAATGTGTCTTGTGTGGAAATCATCCCAAAAAGAAAATGGCAGTTTTATGAGTTGTACATTTAAGAAACAGTAGATCTCAAAGTTGGATCCGTCTCATGAGATTCGTTTTTGCAACTATTCAAATTTGACCCGTCACTCAAGCTACAAAATGTGCTTTACAGGGTGACAGAGCAGTGTGATCATGGTAGCAAACAGAAGACACATGTTGGATCGTTTGACTTAAGCTACACTCTTTGTGCTTCCCTAATCGATTTTGTGCACCAAACAATCTTTGTTAAAGGTATAACAAGCAATGATGTGGAAATACATTCTTGAATCCTTATAAAACTTGAACAGGATTCAAAGTTAATGATATAGACTGTTGCGGAAGAGTGCCAAAAAATTATCAATTTAAAGTATGATACAGCAAAAATCAAACAAAATGGCATTTCAGAAATACAAGTTGTTCAAAAAAATTAATCTGAAATAAAAAAAATACTGTTAAACTTAATCCATGACATGGCAGCGGTATGCTTCATTTCAGAAACGACAGTCCATTTAAAACAAAAAGAAATCTCTTAATTGTGGAAAAGCATG